GAAGTTGTAATAAGCGAATCAAGGTCCATATGAAAAACATTGTCCTCAGAATCCAAGGTATGAACATTCACAGACACCTCCTGGAGATAACAATTTTCAACTTACCCGTGGAGGACAATTCCTGCTTGTTTTGCTTGTTTTGCATCAAAAGGCAACACAATATGAATAACCATTGTTTATTGATTCGAAATCACAAATCTTTTCAACAATAATCAATTCACACCAACAATTATATTACGATATATACAGGGTGTAAATTTGAAAACTTCCAATGCGAATATCTCGCGAAAGAAAAAAGTTAGAAAAACGCCGTTTGGCAAAAATGCTAAAGAGTTAAGGGGAACTAGAACAATCATATTTCGGTCAAGGGATGAGTCACCCCGTCGGCGCGACACACCCCAACTTTGAAATGTCAAATGGCACTACCTTTTTTGTGATGCTTCAAATGAAGAGTCTCAGTCAGTAGTATTCACATGTACAAGACTTTTTTTCCACCCACTACAGGGTGTACGAAAAATATAAAGTCGAATAAAATAAAATGAATTGTGTTAAAAGGATATTTAATTTGATCGATCAGATGTTCAAAATGCATTCCATTCTGTGATGTGAGCAATAGTATAATCGATGTTCAAATGCCATTCTAACATTTTGGAACACATCTCTTGGAATATATCGGCATTCTGCATTTTATTCTATTCGACTTTATGTTTTCCGTTCACCCTGTAGTGGGTAGAAAATAAGTCTTGTACAGGTGAATACTACTGACTGAGACCGTTCATTTGAGGTATCACAAAAGAGGTAGTGCCATTTGACATTTCAAAGATGGAGTGTGTCGCGCCGACGGGGTGACTCATCCCATTACTGAAGTATGGTGGTTCTAGTTCCCCCTAACTCTGTAGCACTTGTGCCAAACGGCGTTTTCCTAACTGTTTTATTTAGCGAGATATTCGCATTGAAAGTTTTCAAATTTAGACCCTGGAATTAATGTTTTTCGTACACCCTGTAGTGGGTGGAAAAAAAGTCTTGTACAGGTGAATACTACTGACTGAGACCGTTCATTTGAGGTATCACAAAAGAGGTAGTGCCATTTGACATTTCAAAGTTGGGGTGTGTTGCGCTGACAGGGTGACTCATCCCTTCACTGAAATATGGTGGTTCTAGTTTCCCTTAACTCTTTAGCGTTTTTGCCAAGCGGCGTTTTTCTAACTTTTTTATTTCGCGAGATATTCGCATTGAAAGTTTTCAAATTTACACCCTGTATACGATTTTTCACATAAATAAAAACAATGAAGTTCTGTCTTCACTCTTTTGCCTGTTTATATGAAAAAAAAAAGATGTCAAGTACTCCAATCATTGGATAAAAGAAAATTCATACACCAATCCGCCATTGAACAACACGAGTGTGAAAGAGACAGGTTACCGTAACACAAGCTATCTTTGTTGCAGCTGCCCCTGACACACTCTGATGTGCTATTCGAGAAACCGGCAGTCTCTCTTCCAGGTGGTCATATTGAGTTCATTGTATCCTCCACATGCGACATATTTTCTGAAGATGATTGTACGTATATGTAGGTATACGAACCTGGATAACGGCGCTCTACGCTCTACTAGAGAGTTGAGCTATAGGGGAACAGTAATTAGGTTTAAGCGTCAAATCTCTGGGGAACGTCGAAATGTGGGTGGCACAGCCCTTTCTAACCAGACGGTGCTTGAGACGCGTCCAATTAAAAACCGATCGCTTTCCCACTCATCTGGATCCCCCGCATCAGTAATAACACCATGGGGTGCGCGGACTCTCTCTGAATAGTGTTTAAAATAGTATAGTCACAATAATGTCCTCTTTCCTTTTTTCAAATCCTTGAAACATCTCTCAGAACTGAAGTAGATACCTACCTATTAATGCGGCTTACAGAAAACGGTCCGCTTGCGTGATATATAGGTATATAGCAGGGATGTATGGATTTGGATATAGCAGCGATGTCCTATTGTTGTAAAGGTCAATTTTCATAGTAGATATTAGTAAGATATATGGCTGGAGTCCTGTTAATAATTGATCAACTTCTGATTGCTAGCTTCGGCTAAGGCTTCGGCTATCAATTTGCAGACTCGACTATAAATAGACAGTGTTTCGTCCTTGGTACTTCAATAATACCCATATAGCACGAGTACGTCCACAAAACGTACTGAGAACGTCCGGCCAAGACGTTTCGTACGTCCAGATTTGGTACGGTCGACGTTCAGGTACGTACTGGGGTACTGGGGACGTCCAGATTCCGCGTTTGTACATCCTCAGTACGTCCATTCAGGACCATGGATACATGGATACATGAATCAACGTAGATCCGCCTCTTTTCACTCAGTCAAAAAAGAGATTTAAATAATAAAGTAGAAAGTCTTATTTTGAATAAAAAAAAATTAAAAAAAAAAACGCTTCTACTGGGATCGATCCCATGACCTTAAGATCACCAGGCAGATTCTCCACCTATTACTCTGGAGAACACTTGTTGATTAACAGTACACAAATATTATGTGCGAATGCCGATTGACTTATATAGAATTAGATCATCACGGAAGAGAATACCTAAATAGATGTTTTGTGATCTGGTGGCGCCAGTAAATAATGAATTTATTGTGAGCATTGTATATCATGTTTATGTTTGCAAGGTTCCTATATATGAATAGATTTCAGAGATCGAGGGTAGAAATTATATATGCAATGATTTCGATTATCATTAAACAATTATTATTCAATCCCGTAAACAAAAAGTCGATAACGTCCAGAGTTGGACGTACCCAGTACATATCGGAATCGTACGTACCCAGTACGTCCAGAAATGGACGTTTTCAGTACGTCTTGAAAAGGTCTCGGACGTTCAGACCTAAATGGAACCTAAACTGGATGTCCTCACAGGACGTCGAGTGCTATATGGGTAACCACATTGGGTCCATTTATGCGTATGAGGTGTAAGGGAATTGTTCTGTCGATTCAAAAATGAGGCCCCTGTATGTTCTGCCTCTTATTGGTTCAGTGGTTCAGTTAGCCATGTTTTGCTGGTTGCTTGCGCTATTCCTCATGTCTGATCTCCAGCTTTCTTTGAGTGTAAAATCTCTGGTCTTAGTATCTCGGAATATAGGTATACCTAAGACCATCAACGAACATCACTGCCATTTCTATTCTTTGTGGTTTCATCCAATTCAAGTGGAAACTTTTAATCCCTATATCTGAGGAGTGAATGAAAATTGCATTCAGTAGGTACCAATGAAGAATGTAATGTTTAAAATAAAATCCTGAAACGATCCATATCGGCGCCGTGGCTTAGTTGGTTAAAGCGCCTGTCTAGTAAACAGGAGATCACGAGTTCGAATCTCGTCGGGGCCTGATAAATCTTTTTTTTTTCGTCATTAACATTGTTTATGGGAAAAATGAATGCAAGATGCGACCAATATGCAGTACAGAAACATCAGAATATTTTCTATTCTTATTCCAAATTTTTTGGGATTTTCTCTCCTCGTTCCTATTAAATAAAAATATGAATATTATTTCAATATACCTGCGTGTAGTAAGGACAAATCAGATGATTTGCCCCAAAATGTCACTGCGTTTAAAGAATTTTTCTATCAGAGAGCCTAAAAGAAAAATTCACTATCTTGTCAGTGACAATAATTTGTATTGAAAAAAGTTTGGAGAAGAGAAATATAGGTATATAGAAAAAATATCAAATTTTCACTTATCTTTGGACGTTTTGGGACCGATGCTGCTCCCGTTTAATCTCTTCTCATGTATATAGAAAAAATATCAAATTTTCACTTATCTTTGGACGTTTTGGGACCGATGCTGCTCCCGTTTAATCTCTTCTCATGTTGAAAACGGGAGCAGAATCGGTCCCGAAACGTCCAAAGATAAGTGAAAATTTGATATTTTTTCTATATACCTTTATTTCTCTTTACCAAACCTTTTTCAATACAAATTGTCACTGACAAGCTGGTGAATTTTTCTTTCAGGCTCTCTGATAGGAAAATTCTTCAAACGCAGTGATATTTTGGAGCAAATCATCTGACTTGTCCTTACTACACGTATATTGAAATAATATTCTTATTTTTATTTAATAGAAACGAGGAGAGAAAATCCCAAAAAATTTGGAATAATGAATGTACCACCTCCTCGATTAACCTACAGACAGTACGAAATAGCAGTATTTAACAGTGGTATATATTGTGCGTTTTGCCACTCTCATGCCTCTGTCCCGTCTATGGATCATTGCATGGCCACTTCGTTGGCTTTATCGTTTCCTGCTCTACCATGATACCATGGCACCCAGTTCCTGTTCCGTTCAACTCCTGTTTTCAGTTCTCATTTAACCTGTTGAGCATGTTCGACTGGAAATGAAATTCGCGTCAAAAAAGCGGTAAAACACTGGTGACTCACGATGTGTACTTTCCAGTAAAGTGGCAGACAATTCCTTGGATAGTAAACGGGAAATCCCACGTCACCACGGAGATACCACGAGACGAGCCAAATAGCTTTTGGAAACAGTTGTGGCAGTTAAGTAATGGATGGAGGTAGCATGTTTATACCGCGTTTCAATCAAGTTCATGTTCACGCTCACTTTCTCATTCATTCTATCGCCAACAACAATAATCAATAAACACCAATGTCAGTGCGCCGGCCATTATTTGAACTAATAGATAAAAAACTATGTGCAAGTGGAAATTCTTATCTTTTATCGTTTTCCGATGATACGTTTCCTATAGGTGCCAACTTTGTTTTATTAATTCTCAATTGAGCATCATTTAAAATAAATCTGATTTAGTGTAGGTATTGATATTGAGGCCAACTGAATATTTCGTGAACGTGGGTCCTTGACAACGAATTTAGACTATCACTAATATTTCAACTTCTAATATTGTTATGTGTTTCTTGTGATCTTGCTTTGCGTGACCACTGAACTTGCGTGACTATAATTGAGGTTTCACAGTGTGCAGTGCAATAAGTTGAGAAAATGAATTGTTCGTGTGTACAAATATTATTCATTCTTATTTTTCTACATGTCGACGGTATTGAAGGACAACAAAATAACACAACATCTCCGACGAATTCCACTATAAAACCGGTATGTATTCCACATGTTAGGAAAAAATACTATCGAGGAGGAAATAATTATACATCATTATAGAAGCCTATTAATTGTTATTCATTAGGATATAATGATATTTTTCTAATGAGCCTATATATTATTCAACCTAAAAATATACCACTTTATCATGATTTAATATATATGAACTACCCCCTCCCTTCTTCTATAATAGCACAAGATGCACGAGGATATATATATTATATACTCTATCATTATAATTATGTGTATCTATCCCTGATCGATACGAAAAGAAACGGTCTTAGATTCTCCTTGAAAAATTCGAACAAAATAAAGAACATACCGAATACGGCTTATTTCACTTATTTGAAACCCGCCAGAAAGATTTTCCGGATCTTACATGCCCAGTATTATTTTTCATCTACCTAAGCCTGCTGGAAGCGGAGACCACTCGTGGCTACGAATTGGGGACAAAATTAAACTTGAATTGGTCCAGTTGAACTTGAATATGCTTATGCATCTGTAACAATTTTTGCTGATCTACTAGCTTTTCAATCCTATGTAGCACAGGAAATGCTGCAATGAAAATTAAGAGAAATGACTTGTTCATTGTTTGTTTATAGAACAGAACTAGAAACCTGATGTATTATTGATAGCAACTTGACGGGAGCAATTTTGAGGTAGCACTCCATTCCCTTAACTATAGGTACTAATCATACTTCTCAGAGACGGCACTGTACATTTATATACAGGGTTTCTCAATACTGATTGGAAGTATTCCAGCAGTGAAATCCTGAGCAAACCGAGCTCTTAATGGCCCAGAACCCTTTTGTGGTATTGCGAAAGCTATGCAAAAGACTAGTATCAAATCATGGATGCAAACCAAATCTCAAGAATGGTGGAACAACTCGCCAGGAATGAGACAGGCAAAAGAGTTTATTGAAAAATCATCGACAACATTCACAGAATATCTACTGAGCCAGAAACGAAGGTCAACTAGAATACTAGTGGAACAAACACATTTGTATAATAAGTCTGACTGAAGAACTGCTGTGCACGTTCTGTCAGGAAGAGGAGGAAACAGCAATACACATAATTTGCCACTGTGAGGGCTTGTCAAGACTAGCCTATGGTATGGAGTCTCATAGAGGTGACGGGGCTAGCCAAAGAACATGGGTTCAGAAATGATCCCCTGAAATGATGGTTCTTTGTAAATATTTTCGGAACCCTCTGTGATGAAATATCCAAATTTTGTACCTAACTTTCGTGCCCCATTTTGGAATGTTAAGGATTTTCCGAAATTTTGATCAAAGGCGTGAAAAATAGATGGATCTAGGGCCACTTCGTTCCCGACTTCTTATTTATTAAAATTTTGGGAGTTTCACCAGAAAATATGAATATATCACTATTTTTACTCAAAAATGGTACCTACTCTTCGATTTTAAAAGTATGCTGCCTAATAAACTCATTGTACTATTTTTGGTACCTAGAATCCGTGGTTGAAATCTTAGTTTCAATTGAGACCAGTTGTATTAAACGGATCTACACAGCGAAAAATGAATATTTCTGTTCAGTAGAAGTTCATAGAAATTAGAACGCAAAATAAATATCGGTTTGACGACTCTTCGTTTTTGGTCAATTATTTTGAATCTGTTCTTCCAGGCTAATGTTTCAATAACAGTTTGTGGTGAAAAAACCATGGATACTATAAATGTTCCGTACTTTGACAGTAATGAGACTCACATCAACACCAATAAAACGAGAATGGAATTAAATATCATTGAAAGGACTGTCAACTGCCCAGAAGGGTTCAAAACGTAAGTATTCAGATTCCGCTCATTAAAACGGTAACGATGAAGATCTTCTCGTGGAAAAAATTCAAATAGGTTTTGTTGCGGTTTTATATCATAGATGAATAAACCCAAAGTCATCTCCACAACATTTATTCGACGATCAGAGATCGATCACATAGAGGTACATGTTTCGGGCTAATATAAGCCCATCATCAGCCGAATACAAGAATTTAGTTCTAGAAAAATCAACAATAACATAGGATATACAGTGCGTTCATAAAGTGTGGAAACGCTCCATTATCTTACGATATAATTATTTTCAGAGGTAAAGCTCGGACAGGTCGATTTTGTATTTCAGTCTTCCATCTTTTTTTACAAAAAAATAATTTTTTCCCCCACCACCTTACAAGATATGACGTCATCGATATTTTTTTTAAATTGAAAGGGTATATTTTTATATCAAAAATTGAAAGCCCATATTTTTCTGAGTTCAACCATACCACATACGTCATATCTTACACTTCAAGTTACAGTATACTGAGTATAAAAGAAACCAGTGTTCATATTTCTCAACATTCATTTAATTATTTATTTTGCAATGGAAACCTGAGAATTACTCAGTAGTTAGTACGAGTATATTTGCCATACTTGAGTAGTAAGCTAGTAGTGTTTTCACTACTTCTTATGATATTTTCATACAGAATAGAGAATAGCTAGCAGGCCTGCCACTGCAGCATATGGTAGTGAGTACATTACTATAGCTTACAAAGCACAGCCCAAAAAAACTCTGAAAGAGAGCTGATAGGCGATGCCTGAAAAGGATCTTAGCCAGCTCTCTTAAGGGAACCACATCACTCATTAAAAACACCTAGGGGCTTGCAGAAAGGTCCTATTAGGGACTAGTTGCCGACGTGCAAACGTGCAAACATCCCCCACCAGTACCAGTAGATCAGTTTGAATCGCGGCACTTTATGATGTTCTCGAAGAGGGCATTTTGTATTTTGTTTCAACCCGTTTACACATGATGAAAGTATGTATGAGAGAATATATGATCTAGGGTTTGTTTAATCGATCGTCCGGAATATCGGTAGCAAAAAAATCGTTGTGCCGCGGATTTGACCCGACTATAAATTGGAATGCTCAATATGTTGGACAAAGTGGTAGGAAAATTTCAACCAGAGTTACAGAACATGTTAAGATCATTGAAGAATTCAAGTGGACACCATCTTTGTTCTAAATTCACCTCGAAATTCACGCCATAGTTTTGATCCAAATCAGGACCTTAATTCCAAAAGGTAGGTTATTGAATTTACTGAAAATTTTCGAAATTAACTCTTCCTTAAATAATAATTCCGTCTTGTCTCTTAATGAACAAACACATTTTGACTGTTTTAAATTTTTCAATGCTTTGGATTTTAATCGCTGTTAGTTTACCTACCTTGGTCTCAACTCTTGTTTCATTTGACATTATTTTCAATGTTTTCTAATCAAATTTGTTCAGATTTAAACACGTGCTGGCTGTTTGTCCCATCAATTTTATTGATATTTTCGCTTTCATAAGAGCACGGGGAACCCATTTAAAAAAAACCGTAATATTATGGTGTTCTGACCTTTGGCAATGCCCTTCATATACCATTTCTGTATATATGAAATTTCGATGAAAACAATGGTATGCGCTCTCAGGGCACGGGGCCCTTCATTCATTGAGAACCCGTTTTTTCATTGATTTCTCGACTATGGGCATTGACAACAATTCCACAACCAGTACCATTACAAATTTTTTCAACTCCAAGTAAGTCACAAGCACAAATTAGGTAATTCTTTCACATCAACCTTTTTTTTGTATTGTAGAACTTTCAATAATTAGGCTGAAGATGGTTTCTTATAAGACCGAAACATGTCCCTTATGATTATGTAACAACACCATTAAAATTTGTGGAGATGACTTCGAGCATTCCTTCATCCTTTTTCCAACTATTGGGGTTACCACAAGTAAGGTTTTGAGATAAACCATTCAATTGGTTCGGATGGCATGATTCTTATCCCGTTATCAAATCGTGAAAATTAGAGTAATGAGTATCTTCGGATGCCTCATTCTGTTCATGAGATGTATATAGCCATATTAGCCATTGGGAGTTCTCGAATTGCACAGGTCCTAATTGAACTAGGTTCCTTCAGGGTCTTTCTTAACATTACAAAATTGTACATATTTTGCTATTGAAAGTATTTTTTTTTCAGCGTTGGTTTTGCCGAAGAAGACATCGTTGGATTCACGTACAACTCCTCTCTGATTTATTTGCATGAACAAAGACTGATACCACCAGATCAATACTGTGTCAAAGCATCTAAAAGTGGTAATAAATTCAGGATATGTTATAAAATTGATGCGAATTTGACAATGACAGCACAAGCTGAAATTGTTAACATATACATACCATGTGAGTATATCTATCAATTCTCACCCCTAGCTGATTTCATAGATTCAATATTACGCGACGTAACGCAAGGTTCTTGGGTGACATATATACTATATACCTAACACAAAGAATTCAAAATAATTAGGTATACGCCAGTCAAAATCGACAATAAATAAACAAAACATGATGTATCTCTGATTTTCTAGTATGTTGTTTGGACCCATTAGGGTAGTGTATAACCAAGTTTGCAACTCTCAAAAAGTTGTGGAAAAAGTTTAGTTAGCACACGAAAAACTGCGGAATTTTCGGACTTTCTTCAGTTTTTGCTCTATATCTCCTAAACTATAGATTTTTCGACACAAAATGTTATATACGTTTTTGAAGAACATCGAATGTTCAACAATTTCAATTCAAGCGGAGCTCTGTAGGTTGATTATTAACGAAACTACGGTACTTTGAATATAGGCAATTTTTTTCAGAAAGTGAAAATTTCAGTTCTGGACCTACTTTAGACCAAAATTGCGGCTAAACCATGGATACTACGAGTAGAACTCATAGATTGAAAATTGTACGCCATTCCATCAGCTTCAAATTAAGTTCTCAGCGGGGTCTTTAGGCCTCGTAGTTCTCTCAAAATATCGAAAAAACCAATATTAGATAGAATCGCATATCTCCAGAAATGTACCAAAACCTTTCCTATCTTTTGTTTTTGGTGTGGTAATAGGAAAAAATGATGGAATGTATTTTAATATGAACATAAGTTATCGAAATAACAGTGATCAATCATTCAATCAAACAGAGTCAAAATCGTCGCCTTGTTTTTGATGGCCCTGGACCGTCACTTTCGATGGACTCTTCGACGGGTACGTCCCCCACTGTAGGTGGAACGTCGTCGTCGTCGTCCTTCTCCATAGGTGAGTACGCCATCATTGGTGGAGTGTCATGGTTGTCTTCTGGCTCGTTAGGGTTCTCTTGAGTCTCGTCATCGTCTTCCTCTTCGATGATGATAAGGGCAGCGTTCTGGCACGTTTTCCCAGAGCAGGTAGCACACATCACAGAACATTTGAGCCCCGCTTTTAGGCAAGTGCAGCCACCTCTGCATCCCTTCTTGCATTTGCAAGAAAGAAGTTTCAGGAGCTCTGGTGGGGCAGGGGCTTTCCGACTTGTAATGGGAATGAGTCCAGCCGAACTCAATTCCCAACACCAGTCCGCGGCATCTTTCTCCATCCCCATAGCTACTTTTGCACCTGGTGGTATGTGCGATAGTGATGATACGATGCAGCTTCTGTGGTTGGTAGCAAACGCGCCAGATTCGCTTTGGCGTTGGCCGCTGTCTTCACGAAAGTACGGAAGCGTACATCGTTGAGGGTGTCTGTCATCTCGTCTCCTCCATCTGGCTGGAGGAAAACTTTTGCTTGGTCTACTAAGGCTTGATTATGTTTGAAGTGGCCCCACATTTTCATCTTCTCCTGCCAGAAGAGGGCAGAGGTGGTGTCGCACCCAGTGAATGCATGGACGAACAGCTCAAATCCAGGTGGTACCTCCACTTCCCCTTGGTTGAACGAGCTGCTGGAAAACTGGATGCAACCCGTCTCACCTCTGCTACTCTTCTGGAAGTAGACGTTTGATTTAGTGGATCTTAGACCGCAGAGGAGCACGAGTAGATCAACATCCTCTCCAACGATGATGACGTGGTCATTGGATGTACTTTTTTGCAGAGCAGTCACAACGATATCGCGGTCTGCGTCTTCTTCTGCTATTTTTGTCTCAATCCCCTCGAGAGCAAAAGCAGAACAGAGATGGTCAATGAGACGAGCTTTGTTTTTGTCATTCGAGAGCATCTTCTCTTGGGGGACTGTGATGATGGTTGATGCGTCAAATAAAATTTCCACTGATGCTGCAGAATGCCGTCGTGATCGCTCTGCAAATTTTGTGCTTTCGGGCGTCATCATACATTGACTATGAAATAGGTACCTACCTACAATTTATTCAATTTGGAGTTCTGCTTCGACCCAAATCTTTGAAATTGGTGAATGTGCAAAATTCACTATATGCAACAAAACAATGATTTGGTAGCTATCTGGAAAAATGCGATATTATCTTATATAGGGTTTTTCGAGATTTTGAGAGAACGACAAGGCCTACAGACCCCACTGTGTGCTCAATTTGAAGTTAATGAAATTCTCAACAACTATTATTGAATGAATTATACCTGTAGCATCAATAGTTTAGCCGCAATTTCGGTCTAAAGTAGGTCCAGAACTGAAAATTTCACTTTCTGGAAAAAATGGGCTATATTCAAAGTACCGTAGTTCCGTTAATAATAAACCTACAAAACTCTGCTTGGATTCAAATTGTTGAACATTCGATTCTCTTCGAAAACATATATCGCATTGTTTGTCGAAAAATGTATAGTTTAGGAGATATAGAGCAAAAACTGAAGAAAGTCCGAAAACTTCGAAGTTTTTCGTGTGCTACACTTTCTCCACAACTTTTTGAGAGTTGCAAACTTGGGTATACACTACCCTAATGGGTCCAAACAACATACTAAAAAATCAGAGATACATCATGTTTTGCGAATTTAGCGATTTTTTGTGTCGATTTTGACTGGCGTAGTATTATAGGACGATTTCACAAGAAAATATTCATGAAGTGTCCAAATTGCGGAACGTTATTCTATAGTATTCCAGATTTTTTGGGATTTTTTCTTCTCGTTTCTATAAAATAAAAATATGAATATTATTTCAATATACGTGTAGTAAGGACATATCAGATGATATTTTTTCTATATAGGTACCTTTATTTCTCTTCTCCAAACCTTTTTCAATACAAATTGTCACTGACAAGCTGGTGAATATAATATTCAGATTTTCATTTTATAGAAACGAGGAGAGAAAATCCCAAAAATCTGGAATAATGAATGTACCACATCCTTGATTAACCTACAGACAGTAGTTATTCGATAGATTCTGAGTGGAAACGTCGTATACCTTTTTCTTATTTTTTCGTATTGGAAATACTTGCCGTTACTTGCATTACTCTGAATCTTCAATTCAAGGATTAAACTATTTTCGTGAAGGAGTTTATCAATGGCCGAAGTACTTATAACAACTCTACAATATAAATATATATAAAAAAATATAGATGAAGGGGGTTCACATTAATATAACAAGCCCTGTACATACCTAAAGAACGAAAAAGCTGATTCGATGTAACTTGATGCCTACTTGATTTTGAAAAATATATTTTTTTAAGGTTTGTGTATATCAACAATATGTTACTTTGGATCTGCGATTATATATTACTTCATTCTGAAAGTTCAAGATGAGCACAAGAAATGTTTTGTTGGATATTCCGTTTCCATGGGAGTAACATTTGTGTTTTTGATACTTCTACAGACAGTCAATACAGGATGTGATATATTAGGTGAGCTAATGATATTACTAAAACTATAGGGAAGGATTAATATTTTTTTTTCAGGCTCCTTATTTTTTATGTTTATTTTTTCATCTTTTGTTTGGTTAACATGCCTGTGTGCGGATCTCAATTTCATGATTCTGTAAGTTTCCAAGTTGTTGAATCAAACTTCCTGTTTATCTTCAACTTCAATACTGCTGAAATCACATTTTCGACTAAAGTATATTTTTCATTTTCAGAAATTTCAGAGGAGACAACAAAGTGAACCGATTTTATTTATATATTTCTCTAGCCATATTGTATCCATGTGTCATGATACTCATTTCTCTGCTGATTACGCCTAGGGGTTCTCCAGATGTTCCCAATTCATTCATGAAGAACTACGTTAATAAGAACATGTGCCACTTCAATGGTAAGTTTCTGCTTGCATCCTCTTTGTTTCTATGTATATTATCTATGTTCGAGAATGAAAAAATAAAATGCAATTATGTCGTAAATGATAGGGGTAAATCAGTGAGCCAAAATAATGTTGGTACTTCATGTAAAAAATATGTCCATCGCGCTTCGTTATAGAGTTATTGACTTTGAAAATCAGAATTAAAAGATATTTATTTATTAAACAAGGGGAGAAAGTAGTAGATTTTAGCTCCAGGTTGTGTTACGCGTCGGGAGACAAAAAACCGTGAGCTAAAATCTAATATTTTTCCCGTGTATAATACACTATTTTCTTCTGTGACAAAAGAAAGGACGAATCAATATTGAGAAGATATTACATTATTTTGAAATCTGAAAATTATCGACGTGAAATTTCAAGTTTTTAACAGTAGGGACACCTGCGTTGTAGGCACCTTTATCATTCTTTTGAAGTAATCAAATATCTGATGTCACTTCTGTCAGTCTAATTCTGTGATTTGATTTCAAAAAATTGCGAATTTAGTGGTTGTTTAGGAATATACATAACCGCGAAGTCGAATGGAAGATAAAAGGACTTGCAGTTCTTTCTCGGAGACGGTATTATTGACTCATTTTTCGGAACTATAGCACAACAAAAGCCATCAACAGTGTATATATGTATATGTGATATATATCCGGGAAAAAAGTACTCACTTTTTTCCCACGGGAAAAAAGTAATTTATGAAAAGTGACATTTTATAACCTGCAAACAGAGATGAAATGCCAAACTTTTTTCCCGTCAGAAAAAAAATTAATTTCAATTCTTATAGCACCATTCTCGATATGCTCTTAGTATTGTGTTTATTTTTTCTTCGAGTTCATCAGCGTTGCTGCCAGATACTATAAGTGAATTTTCATCAGCATACATAACGATTTGGCAGTCGGGAATAAACGAGAGTAGATCATTCACGAACAATAAGAATATTAGGGGTCCCAAAACGGAACCTTGTGGGACACCACTATTAACTTCATAGTCTGTAGACATTGTTAGCTATTTTGACCCTTAGCTTCCGACCAAGTAAAAAGATTTATTTTGTTGTAAACCATGTTGATTTTTTGTTAAACCTGTTTAAAAAACTTGTCAACCTAATCATGATGAGATTTTCTATTACCTTCGATAAGATGCTTATAATAGAGATGGGCATATAATTGTCACTATCAAATTCATCATCTTTCTTGAATATAGGTAAAACTATTGCAGTTTCAAGTATATCAGGAAAAATTGACTGTTCAAAACATTTTTTTATTAATATCGCGAGGATATCGCACATCGCATATTATATTATGCAGGACCTTACGTATTACGTATCAGAGATAAAATAATTGATAAATGCTCATTTGCAGGTAACAATCTTCCTATGTTCTTTGTTCCTACTGGTCTGTTAGCCTCGTTAAGCATACTGTCGTTGGCCTACAGTTTCTACATGATTAGGCAAAACGAAAAAACATACAGAAATAACTTCAACTGGTTAGAAAAACGGAGTGAATTCAAATACATGTAAGTATGTGACCCATTTCAGATAAATGTAAATTATATTTGTGTTAAATGTGCTTCATGTGTTTTGTACGAAGGCGCTGAAGGGCCACCTATACTTTTTTTTTTTGAATCCCGACTTTAAAGTCGGGGGTCCGACTTTGAAGTCGGGGGTCCGAGATTAAAGTCGGGGGTCCGACTTTAAAGTCAGGGGTCCGAGATTAAAGTCGGGGGTCCGAGATTAAAGTCGGGGGTCCGACTTTAAAGTCGGGGGTCCGAGATTGAAGTCGGGGGTCCGACTTTAAAGTCGGGGGTCCGACTTTAAAGTCGGGGGTCCGAGATTAAAGTAGGGGGTCCGAGATTAAAGTCGGGGGTCCGACTTTAATCTCGAAAATTCCGAGAAAATGATCGAATGAGCAAAATACGTCATCACTTTTGTTTAATTCGAATATCCTTTATATCGACAAAATATCAATATAACATATACAGGGTGATCCACGGTGGATGGCCTATTAGAAGTATCTGGAGAACGAAAAGACAGAACATTCTGAAAATTGGGATCCTTTGATAATTGAACATTCTCTATCCGTTCAAAATATGTTCATCGATACAGTGTTGCCATTTCTATTAGAAACAACGAGCAACTTTGTTATTTCTAATGAAATACCCTGTATTTTATTGCATTTTCAGATTCTTCCTGAAGAGCTGATTTCATCAATGTCAAAAATACAGGGTGCTTCAAGATTCAGAATTCTGGTCACCATGTATCTGTTCCAATTAAATGTCAGTAGACAGTGAATCGAAAGTTAAGATAGGGACATGTGAACCGTTTTGATCGATAATGAATAGTTTCGACACAAAAAAATCTTAACATTGAAGAATCCTGATTTTGAACACCCTATATCTCTGTAATCATCCCTGCTATAACCCAAGTGTGATACATTGATGAAATCAGCTGTTCAGGAAGAATCTGAAAATGTAATAAAATACAGGGTGTTCCATTTGAAATAACAAAGTTGCTAACTGTTTCTGATAGAAGTGGCAACACTGTCTCGATGAAAGTATTTTAGACGAATAGAGAATGTTCATTTATCGGAGCATCCTAATTTTCAGAATGTTCTGTCTTTTAGTTCTCCAGATACTTCTAATATGCCATCCACCGTGAATCACCCTGTATAATTAGTTAATTCATAATGAAAACTGCGCATTGAAAACTTGATTCTCAACGTTTTCATAAGGCTTTGGAATTTGGCTATTTATTGAAGAAGATTATGAAAATAGTCCGGAAGGGTTAACTCATACCTACAAATGTAATCATATATCATTGAACTCATCTTTCTGAGCTGTACCCAAGGACGGAATGACATTCAGGGTAGTTCATTTGTGAAAATATATGTTTTGTATTGTGATCTTTTTGCACCCTCTGAACAAACAAATGAGATTCTCAGCTATTAAGTGGAATATAAACAATCACCCTATACGTACGATAATGATCGTACAGGTGTGATCCGCATTATTTGACATTCAGTGTACATCCAAAAAGGAGGATTTTGACTGATCCTTATGTGATGATTATCCAATGGATGTAAAATTATTGTTTGTACATAAATGTACAGGGTGTTTCTCGAGTACATGTAGAAAATTCAGGAGCATGTTGCTGACGTCAAACTGATGAGTAACAATGGAAATTATTTATTTCTGTCCATATATTTAACGAATATAATCTAGCTCCTAACTTCAGTTCCAAACTCCCGACTTTAATCTCGGACCCCCGCGACTTTAATCTCGGACCCCCGACTTTGAAGTCGGACCCCCGACTTTAATCTCGGACCCCCGACTTTAATCTCGGACCCCCGACTTTAATCTCGGACCCCCGACTTTAATCTCGGACCCCCGACTTTAAAGTCGGACCCCCGACTTTAATCTCGGACCCCCGACTTTAATCTCGCACCCCCGACTTTAAAGTCGGACCCCCGACTTTAATCTCGGACCCCCGACTTTAAAGTCGGACCCGCGACTTTAATCTCGGACCCCCGACTTTAATCTCGGACCCCCGACTTTAAAGTCGGGATTCAAAAAAAAAAGTATAGGTGGCTTTTCAGCGCCTTCGTAGTTTTGACTTGTCTACTATTGAAAATCCACTATTGAACATTTGTGTGGATTTTGTGGTCTGTGGTGATTTTGGAACAACACAGCATGAGCCATAGGCGAATGCTGCAATCATTCGAGTAGGAAATTAGCATTCCATGCAAGTTATGCACTATAATTTTTCTACGACTATAATAGATAACAGCGGCATTTTCGATTTCTTCGTTTTGTAGCCATCTGATTTCCTGTCAAGTAATGCTCATCTATTAAATGAAAAAAAAAATAAAAAAAATATTAGACAGAGCTGTCATTGCTTGACATTCCATGAGCGATGAGATTTTCTTGATATAATAACACAATGGAGTCATTGGGATATCAGATACAGAAATAAAATTGATGACATACAAAGTACCTCATTGATGTATCGAACCCAGTAAAACAAGAGCAATCTTGTGTTATACAGTGTCTTTCAAAAGTATCGGAACGGTCTCATATTTCAGGAACGGCTTGAGGAAAATTCACGAAGTTTTCAACAGGGTGATTATTGATGATGTCCGATTCAATGGTGGCATCGGCAATGTTGCCAAGTTCACAATTTTTCAGATATTAGGAGTAACTCCACTTTTTCAAATGGAATACCCCATTTATTTTTATTGCAATCAATTAAGCGCCTCCTAATTACTTGAGTCCCTGATTATCAGATTCGTAATTAACGTGATTTTCGAAATATGACAACATAGCATTTTCGTTAAAAAGTTCTGGAACGGTCATTTTACTTGGTTCTTTGGGATTTTCTCTCCTCGTTTCTATAAAATAAAAGTATTCGTATTATTTCAATATATTTGTAGAGGGACAAATCAGATGATAGAAAAATTTGTTAAACGCAGTGACATTTTGGGGCAAATCATCTGATTTGTCCCTCTACAAATATATTGAAATAATACGAATACTTTTATTTTATAGAAACGAGGAGAGAAAATCCCAAAGAACCAAGTAAAATGAATGTACCACCTCCTCGATTAACCTACAGACAGTATTCTGGAACGGTCCCATATTTCAGAAACGGCTCGAAGAAAATTTATGAAAACTTCGACAGGATGGTTGTTGATGATGCCCAATTCAATGGTGATATCGGCAATGTTGCCAAATCAACAGTTTTCCAGATATTTGGGGTAACTCAATTTTTTCAAATAGGATACCCTATTTGTTTTCATTGCAATACATTCAGCGACACCTCATTACTTATGTCTTCAACTATCAGATTTTGAATTGAAGTGGTTTTCGAAATATGACATGGCATTTTCGTTCAAAAGTCTGGGAACCCTCTAATATTTTCAATACGGTTCAAGGAAAATTCATGAAATTTCATACAAGATGGTTTCTGATGATGCCCGATTCAATGATGAAATCGGCAATGTTGCCAAATCAATAGTTTTTCAGATATTGTGGGTAATTAAATTTTTTCAAATGGAAAACCCTATTTATTTTCGTTGCAATCAATTCAGCTCCCCCTCATTACTCATGTCTTCAAATATCAAATTCGAAATAAGTGTGGTTTTTTAAATATGAGAACATGCTCCGTTGAAATGTCCGCGAACGCTTCAATATTTTCAAAAGGGCACGCAAAAATATGAAATTTTTTTGCGATCAATTCTGAAAAACTGTTGATTTGGCAACATTGCCGATATCACCATTGAATCGGGCATCATCAGAAACCATCTTGTATAAAATTTCATGAATTTTCCTTGAACCGTATTGAAAATATTAGGTTCCCAGACTTTTGAACGAAAATGTCATGTTGTCATATTTCGGAAACCACTTCAATTTGAAATCTGATATTTGGAGACATAAGTAATGAGGCGTCGCTGAATGTATTGCAATGAAAACAAATAGGGTATTCCATTTGAAAAATTTGAGTTACCCTAAATATCTGAAAAACTGTTGATTTGGCAACATTGCCGATATCATCATTGAATCGGACATCATCAACAACCATCCTGTCGAAGTTTTCATAAATTTTCTCCAAGCCGTTTCTGAAATATGGGACCGTTCCAGAACTTCTTAACGAAAATGCTATGTTGTCATATTTCGAAAATCACGTTTCTTACGAATCTGATATTCAGGGACTCAAGTAATTAGGAGGCGCTCAATTAATTGCAATAAAAATAAATGGGGTATTCCTTTTGAAAAAATGAAGTTACTCTTAATATCTGAAAAACTGTGAACTTGGCAACATTGCCGATGCCACTATTGAATCGGACATCATCAATAATCACCCTGTAGAAAATTTCGAGAATTTTTCTCAAGCCGTTCCTGAAATATGAGACCGTTCCGATACTTTTGAAAGACACTGTATAGCCGTAGAAAAACTGAATTTTATTATCTCTATAGTTATATTTATTGAATTTTTTGCGAATGTCACATATTCCTGTATTTTGAGTTCCTGTTTCGAAGAAGAAATTAATAATAATTCATTTTTTCCGAAAGTGCCCTATACTTTTGTTATATAAGGGGCGCAAATTCATAAGTTCGCCACAGGCTCCATCTACCCTAGTTACGACTCCGATCATCTATTGTAAAGGTTACTCCTAACATATCCCAATGAGCACTCCTGTATAATTCAGGACATTTATGTTTTAATATTTCATTCATTTTGTAGTAGTCGTATTAGTCCGCGGGCGCTAAAATTTCAATTTACGCCCGCAAAACCGGGATATAAAGTGCCACTTTACCGCCCGGTTTTGCGGACGTAAAGTGGTACTTTACTCCCTGCGGTCTACTGTATCGCCCAGCGTATAGGTAACTCTCAATAAGCATTCCTATATAATTCAGGACATTTATGTTTTAGTTATGATGGTTCATTATCTAATTTTACAGTTCTCTTGAACTTTCTGATGCATGCAACATGATATGATCGAACTCGAAATAAGTTATCT